CATATATATATATATATATATATATATATATATATATATATATAAAAGACATTGTCTTTATCCATTCAGTCCTCTGTTGATGGACATTTAGGTTGCTTCCATGTCCTGGCTATTATAAATAGTATAGCAGTGAACTTTGGGATGCATAATATCTTTTCAAATTATGGTTTTCTCTGGATATATGCCTAGGAATGAGATAGCTGGATCATATGGTAACTCTATTTTTAGTTTTTTAAGGAATCTTCATATGTTCTCCATAGTGGCTGCACCAATTTTCTTTCCCACCAACAGTCTAGAAAGGTTCTCTTTTCTCCACACCCTCTAAAGCACTTATAGTTTGTAGATTTTTGTTTTTTTGGCTATGCCAGGTCTTCCTTGTTGCGTGTAGGCCTTCTCTAGTTGGAGCAAGTGAGGGCTACTCTTTGTTGCAGCGCATGGGCTTCTCATTGTGGTGGTTTCTCTTGTTCTAGGCACACAGATCAGTAGTTGTGGCTCACAGGTTCTAGAGTATAGGCTCTGAAACTGTGGCATGTGGGCTTAGTTGCTGCACTGTATGTGGGTTCTTCCTAAACCAAGGATCAAACCCATGCTCCCTGCACTGACAGATGAATTCTTAACCACTGGACCACCAAGGAAGTCCCATTTCTAGGTTTTCGGATGATGGCCATTCTGACCAGTGTGAGGTAGTCAGAATGGCCATCATCAGAAAACTCAATGTGGTTTTGATTTGTATTTCTCTAATAATTAGTGATGCTGAGCATCTTTTCATGCTTTTTTTTGTCCATTTGTATATCTTCTTTGGAGAAATGTCTGTTTAGATCTTCTACCAAATTTTTTATTTTTTTTTGTTGTTGTTGTTATTACTGAGCTGCATGAGCTGTTTGTATGTCTTGGAGATGACTCCCTTGTCAGTCACTTTGTTTGCAAATATTTTCTCCCATTCTGTGGGTTGCCTTTTCATTTAGTTTATGGTTTCCTTTGCTGTGTAAAAGCTTTTAAGTTTAATTAGTTCCCATTTGTTTATTTTGTTTTTATTTTTATTACGCTAGGTGGTGGGTCACAAGAGATCTTGCTGCAGTTTATGTCAGTGAGTTTTCTGCTTATTTTCCTCTAAGAGTTTTATAGTATCTGGCCTTACATTTAGGTCTTTAATCCATTTTGAGTTTATTTTTGTGTATGATGTTAGAGATTGTTCTAATTTTACTCTTACATATAGCTGTTCAGTTTTTCCACCAGCACTTATTGAAGAGGTTATCTTTGCTCCATTGTATATTCTGGCCTCCTTTATCATAGATCAGGTGATCATAGGTGTGTGGATTTATCCCTGGGTTTTCTATCCTGTTCCATTGATCTATTAGTCCGTTTTTGTGCCAGTACCATACTGTTTTGATGACTGTAGCTTTGTAGTATAATCTGAAGTCAGGGAACCTGATTCCTCTAGCTCTGTTTTTCTTTCTCAAGGTAGCAATACAGTATTCTTGTCTGGGAAATCCCATGGACAGAGGAGCCTGGTGGGCTACAGCTCATGGGGTCACAAAGAGTCAGACACAACTTAGTGACCAAGCAACAACAATGGTATACATACTATGTGTCAGGAGTTCTTGTAAGTACCTACGATATGAACACAGAGTTGGGAAAAGATGTGCACAACTGGCTCCTTTTTTTTTTTTTTTTTAACATAAAAAGGGTTTTATTTGCAGGGGAGTGGGACTTCAGTCAAACAAGCCAAACCCCATGTCATCTTCTGACTCCTCTGACTCTTCCTTCTTCTCCTCCTTCTTCTCGTCTGCTGCTGCTGTAGCAGAACCCACAGCAGGTGTTGCAGATCCTGGGGCAGCGGAGACAGCCACAGCCCCACCTGCAGGCACACTGGCCAGCTTGCTGATACCCTGGGCAATGACATCCTCAATGTTCTTTCTGTTCAGCTCACTGATGACCTTATTGAGCTGGTCGTCATCTGCCTCGATGCCCATGCTGTCCAGGATATTTTTTATTTCCTTGGCCCTGAGAGACGAATTGCCCCATAGGGCGGCCAACAAATAGGAGGTGACTCAACACATCTCAGCAGCAGCAGAGCAGCCTAGCGCATGCGGCCTTGGTGGCGTCGGGGGTGGAAAGGAAGGTCACAATTGGTTCTTATATGTCAGTTAAAACAGGCTCCAGGGAACCACTGGGTATAAGAGAAAAAGAAGAGTGAATGATGAATCCAAGTTTTTATTATGAGCAACAGAGGGGATGGTGTGGTCATCAAATAAGATGGGGTATATTATGAGTGGGTCAAGTCGGGGGCATTGCATATCAAGAGTTCAGCTTTCCACATACTAGTTAGGCATATTTCTTAAACATCCAAATGTAGACATCAAGTAGGTAGCAGACTGTATGATTCTGAAGTTCTGAAAAGACATTTGGGATGAATACATGATTACTATGACTATGAACATCAAGAGTGTGTAAATGGTATTTAAAGCCACCTAACTGAATGAAGCACCAAAAGACTGACTAAATATAGAAGAGATATAGTCCAAGGACTGACCTCTGGGAAATCTGATTAAAGGTACATGCGGTGAAGAGAAATAAGGGCAGACAGAGAAAGAACAGCCAGAGTTAGGAGAAAAACTACATGAGTTTGATGTCCTGGAAGCAAAGTAACCAAAATGTTTCAGGTAGAAATGATGAAGTGTCAAACACTACTTCTATGTCAGAAAAGATGAGGATTGAGAATTGATCAGCAAAACTCCACAAATCCTGGAGCTTGGAACACTATTTTAAAACTACAGAACTAAAATCCAATGACTTTTCTGAGTCTCTTCAGAGAATCCACCTCCATGTGACTCATCATGAAGATTTTTTTTCACTGCCACGGCATTGCCTTTCATCTTTGTTAATCTCTTGGCTGCCCTTCTATCCTACAATATATCACCTGTTACCATACTCTTCCCTAAGGCATTTATCTGCAACCATTAACTGTCTGTCATCTGTGGCTGTGTTCCATATGACTCTTAAACCTGGGCAAGCTGAGGGTCTCCCCCAGTCCCCCCAGGCCCAGGCTACGCAATGGGCCTTGTGCTTTAGAATACTTTCCTTGATTATTTCCAAGAGGCCCTCTGGGTCCAGCAGTCTATTCTAGGAAGACCTCTCCTGGACCAGACCAAGGACAAATTTTCTTTCTGTTTTTCTCACTCTTCTCAAGTGTCCCTTGCTTAACCTTCTTATTGGTGGTGGTGTGTGGTAAGAAGAGGTATAGTCAGGCTTGAAGAAGATCATATTCTAGAAATGCAGTGATTGTGGAATAATGTATTCAAGAAAAGATGCAACTGAAATATTTACTCTATAAAATTCTGAAATGTAAGTTTATTAGGACCAGAAAATTAATTATTATTTTTAAAAGATGTTTATTCTTATTGTCATATAGTTGCTTATAGTTTATTAGTTTCAGGTGTACAACACAATGATTTAATATTTCAGAAAATGAATTATTGTTCACATTTTCCTGCATATTCTGGGTAAGATTTGCATGTGTGTTCATCACCAGTGAAGCACAATAACAATCTTTTAGAGAGTCACTGGAAGTCTATATTCATAGGCAGCATCATAGAGATCATGAGATGCAGAATCATGAGTAATGATGCAAGGTATTAGGCTGTTACAATGGCAAGATCTACATTATTTCAATACAAAGAGGTTCTGAAGGGTCATGGTGTTGTGAATGATAACAGTGTTAGTACATTTTTCTCCTGTCAGGAGATATAAAATTATCTAGAAATTGCATATTTGAAAATAAGAACATGAAGATATGGGTCCAGGATCTGAACAGGAAAAGGTGGTACCTAGATACCACTAAGAATCCTCATGTGCCTTGACTGAACAATAAAGAGATATCTAAGTGCCTCTTCTCTATCCATAACTCTAAATATTAAAAATTAATTCAATTGAGCCCATAAATTTTGTCATATATTTTAAAATCAAACTGTTTATATAGACAAAAACCTGCAAAATATATTTTCTTGAGGATCTCACACAACCTAGGGGAGACCATAATGGTGTTTCTCAACTGCTGTAGCCCCATCTCCATCCCATGAGGCATATTGGCTTTCCAGTTCCTGCAGCTGCCAATGCCAAGTAAGCTTGGAACATTCACTCTGATAGTCTGTCTTAGATTGGAATTACTCACAATATGAATTTATAGTTTTGGATGCATTCAGCTTTCTTGGACTTCTGTGGTAGAACATCTGCCTGCTTACCCATCTCTTTCTAAGGTTATCACCAATTAAAGCAGTCCTAGCTCTTAAAATGACATTATTTCCAAATCAAAGTACCTTTACTAAGTGCTCACATGTTTTTTTTTTTTTCATTTATTTTTATTAGTTGGAGGCTAATTACTTTACAATATTGTAGTGGTTTTGCCATACATTGACATGAATCAGCCATGGATTTACATGTGTTCCCCATCCTGAACCCCCCTCCCACCTCCTTCCCCATCCCATCCCTCTGAGTCATCCCAGTGCACCAGCCCTGAGCACTTGTCTCATGCATCCAACCTGGACTGGCGATCTGTTTCACACTTGATAGTATACATGTTTCAATGCTATTCTCTCAGATCATCCCACCCGCACATGTTTAATACAAATTCTCTTTTGGAATCTAGGTGGTATAATGCAATATATAATTACTTCTGGAAGACCTGATAAATAAATATATTAATCACAGTCTAAGAATGGAAGCAACTTAAATTTGTAACTGTAGGTGAAATGGTTACACTTGCTATATTTACTGTATAGAATATTATGCCATCATTTTATAAAATATATCAGCAAATTCTTTGATGCTCCTGCCATAAGAAAGTGAAGTCTAATTTCCCACTTCTTGAGTATGGTCTGGTCTTAGTGACTCATTTCTAATGAATAGAAAATGATGGAAGTCATGCTTTGTGACTTCTGAAGCTATATCATGAAAGACAATACCACTTCCACCTAACTCAGTTTCACAGGAATTCATCCTTGGAAACCAGCTACCACATTTTGAGGAAGTTCAGGCAACATGGAGAAGTCACAAGTGGTATTTCTATTGACAGCCCAAACTAAAGGTCCCTGGCAACAGTCAGCATTAGCTGAGAAACATGCAAGAGGACTGGTCATGTGATTTCAGCACCCAGTCTTTCAAATGCCCCAGTTAATGCTGAGAAGACCAAAGTGAAGCTGTCCTGCTCAAATTGCAGATTCTTGATCCAAATTAGTCTTATTTTAAGACACTATGTTTTAAGATGATTTTTTATGCAGCAACAGATAATCAGACCAGACTATATAAAAACAAGGAAAATAGAGCTTAGGGGTCATGAATCACTATAATTATGCCTATCTAAATGGTTCTATGCATGATCCAGAGACTGGAAGAAAATATCTAAATGTTAACAGAGTTTGTGTTAGGGTGGTGATATCTAAAAGTGTGTTTTCCCCCTTTCTATTATCTAAGTTTTCACTTACATATATAGAAAGAAGAACCGCAAAGCACATTTGTTACATTTTTCTGGGTTTTCCTGGTTTAATGTAAGTATTTAAGGAACCATTAAAATAGTGAGCCTCCTTCCTGTGGGCTGACTCAGTCTCTCATTGTTTGCCAAAACATCCACAGCAGTTTTTATTGTTGATTAACCAAGCATACACTGAGTACAAGGCAGACTTGATTGAAATGTATTCATTTATCATAAATTAAACATCTTAATTGGGAATAGACACCCAATGCAGACAACTCCCATCTGGTAATGTTGACATTAAAAATGTCAGTAGAGTGAAACTCATTAATTGTATATTCTGGGGACCACAAAACCATTAACTTCTAGCTGAAAGGATTCAGACAATCGACCCTCACATTCTGACTGCAGGACAAGAAGATCCTACACATGCCTACAGATGACACCTGCAATTTTGTAAAAAAAAGAAATAGTAAGAAACCAGGAAGAATTTTCAAATTTTCATTTACTTCCTCTCATCAACAGATCTCAAGGAATGTTCATTTAAAACTGACCAAATTTAGAGCAAGGGGCAAATTCAGAGCTCTCTTGAATAAGTCCTCTGTACTATAAAACCTCTGAACCTACATGTCCTGGCCATGAAAACAGAACACTTTTTAGCAATGATTAAGTGTGAAAGTCTATCCTTACTCTGGAATCCCTCTAGAGCTTTAGATCAGGCCCTCTCAAAGTGTGATCCCTTAACCAGCAGTACCAGCATCACCCAGAAGTTGCAAAAGTTCAGCATCTCAGCACCACTTCAGACCTACTGCATTCTGATCTCTGTAGTGGGTCTCAGGCATCTACATATTTACTAGCTCTGCACATTACTCTGATTTTCGCTAACATTTGAGAAATGTTAATCTAGGTCACCTTCACATCAAAATATATCCCTCCCTAAACTTTGGATCTCAAGAAACTCCCTGTGTTAACACCTTTGTCCCTCCTCACTGCCCTTCCCTCCTGCACCCCCACCAGAATGGTACCCTTGGCCATGGACAAGTAGGGTGATGATACAGAAATAGCATTGTTTGTCTGCAGGCAAAATTCTAATGTGGGTCAACATGCCTTCATTTTCCTGTACTCCTATTTCCCCCTCCCTTTACTGGTCCTCCTTCTACCCCTCTAACTCTTCTAGATGAATTTCTCCAGACATCGGGAGTTTGTTTTTTGTTTTGTTTTTGGTCTCAGGCTCCTAAGGGTCCAACAATTCAAGATGATACTCAATTCTGTCTGAACCCCAGACAAAGTACAACTGTGCTCAGTCTTTTTTCTGAATGCCATACTTACTAAAGATATAGAACATTTTCATCGCCTCAGGAAGTTCCCTCATGCCCCTTTGCAATCATTCCTCCCCTGGCTCCAGGCAACCACTGATCTGCTTTCTATTATAGAATCCCCTTTTCTAGAATTTCATATAAATGGAAAATACAGGGTACAGCCTTCTGGGTCTGGGTCCTTTCACTTATTGTATGTTTTTGAGATTCATTCATGCTGTTCCTTTCTATTGTAGTGTAGTATTTCATTGCATGTATAATGCCATGGTTTGTTTAT